TTCCCACTCCTGCCGCAGCTCTTCCCGGAGACGATTTTCCTCCTCCTAAGAGAGGAAATGGGTGAAGGAGTGGGGATCAGGGCTGCTCAAAGGGTATAGCGACCCACTCCCTGAGCCAGAGTCTCTGCCAGGGCTGAGGTCAGTCAGAATCAATGTCAGAGCCAGAACCAGAGCCAGGCAGCATTTACCTCCCTATCTCGGTCAGGCAAGAAGCTGGTGTCCACATCTGGGTTCTTCCCCAATTTCCTTTTCTTTGTGGTGATCTCTGGAGCAAAAGAAGGTGAAGTATGCCTTAGCATTATTCTGAAAATGGTTTTGATCTCATAGACCCCCAAATGGATCTCTCAGACCCCCAGGGTCCCTGAAGTACACTATGAGAACCACTGACCTAGAAGACAGACATAAACCAAAAAAAAAAAAAAAAAGACAAGATATCAGGATCCCACTGCTAGGTCTCTTTAAATGAAGCCTTTAGAAGGAGGGAAAAGCCTACACCAAACAGTGTTTTTGTAAAAGTCCTAGTGATACAGACAGGTTAATAACCCCCCCCCAGGCCTGCTCAGTCCAAAACAGTAGCTCCTGCCACACACAACACTGAGCTTGTGGCAGTTGACATGTAGCTAGCTGGACTAGCCTAGATGGAAATATTTTGGATACAGTTATGTTAAATACAATGTATTACTAGCTGATGCAAGCCTGTATCCCAGCAGCTCGGGAGGCTGAGACAAGAGGATTGGGAGTTCAAAGCCAGCCTCAGCAACCGCAAGGCACTAAGCAACTCAGTGAGACCCTGTCTCTAAATAAAATACAAAATAGGGCTGGGATGTGGCTCAGGGGTTGAGCACCCCTGAGTTCAATCCCTGGTACCCCACCCCCCAAAAAAACCCCAATGTTTTACTAAAATAACAATTTCTAAAATATTCCAGGTCTGTCACCTTGCCTTCGTCTGAGGCCTGGGACATAACTTGTTCAGAGTACTCAAATATGTCCACTCTTTCCTGATATTTCAGTGCAGCTGTATCTTTTCACCCTTCCTGTCTCTAGAACTAATGAAATTCCCCTCATGCTTAAGGCCCAACTATCCTCCTTGTGACACATTCCTTGACCTTGGGCTACTCCCCAGGCCACAGGTGGGGCAGCAATTTGTCCAGAATACATGCTGACCTGTATGCCTTCCACTAGGAGAGGACAATGCCCTGTAAGCTCCTGATCAGGTACAGAGCAGGTGTGTAGCACACAGGAGAACCAGGCTGGCTTTGGCTTCACTTACCAGCCTTCCCCAAAAGTTCCTGATGTCCCCTAGTTCTCACATCTGAGGTCTGTAGTGTCCACCTAATAGCCACTAAATTTCTTTGGCTGTGTAAATTTTACAGTAGAACTAATTCAACAATTAACTCTTTAGTGCTCAGTGGCTACCATATTGGGAAGCACAGACATGAATATTTTCATCACTGCAGAAACTTCAAGCACCCAAGCATGGTCCAGAATATCTTCTCTCCTCAATCTATCCTATTATGGCACCTTCAGAGGGTAGCTTCTGGAACCTTCTGGACCAGTTACCAACCTCACTCCGACAGTCCTTGCACTGGTGGCTCCTGTCCAGGGGACACTGGCTGGGATTTGACTCGATTTGCCACTGACAGTGAGCCCCTACTTGGTTTTAAAAACCGATGCAGCTGGGGCTGGAGCTGGGGCTCAGCAGTAGCACACTTGCCTGGCATGTGTGAGGCACTGGGTTTGATTCTCAGCACCACATATAAATAAATGAATAAAATAAATGTCCATCAACAATATATAACTTTTTTAAAATCTGATGCAGCTGGGCATGGTGGTGTACACCTGTAATCCCAGCTACTCATAAGGCTGAGGCAGGAGGATCAAAAGTTCAAGGGCAGCCTCAGCAACTTAGCAAGACCCGGTCTCAAAAAATTTTAAAAGGATTTGGGAATGTAGCTCAGTGGTAAAGTGTCCCTGGGTTCTATGACCAGTACCTAATTTACTAATCAATTAATTATTTAAAAATAAAAAGGGATCACGATGTAGCTTAGTGGTTGGTCACTTGCCTAGCATGCACAAGGTCCTGGGATCAACACTAAGTACTGCAAAAATAAAAAAAAAAATATATAAAAGTAGTGCAGTCCTGGCTCCTTGCTTTCCTTTCCTGCCCCATGTGAACTCTGGGACCATAAGCACAGCGAGCAACTGAGGCTGGGCAGTAGATGTTCTTTTTCCTTCTACAGCCCAAAATCCAGGATTGAGTTCTGGCAGGCAGGGCCCTCACCTTCCCTTTCCAGCTCCTCCTCATACATGGCCACCTCCTCCTCCTCTTCGCCTCCCTCCTCTTCTTCCTCCAAGGTGAAGGACAGGCTAGAGATCTTCCGCTTGGCCTCCTTCTTGCGCTCTTTTTCTCGCAGCTTCTCCAGCTTTCTACCAAGGCATGGGTGGCCATCATGCCCCATGTTCCTGCCTCTAGGTCCTTTCCCTGACCCAGAGACACTTGTGTGCTCAGTATGGGGCTCACCAAGTGCAGGTTGGATCTCCCTAGCACCCCAGAGGGATCCTCCTGCCCTGAGTCACTTCATAGCTCATGGGCAGAGAACTCTGATTATGACACAGCAGGCATATAGAGATATGGTTAAGATAGAGAAAGGGGACAATGCAAGCTCTTAATACACCCACTGAAAGAAGAGGGCACAGAAAGGACTACCTTTATAGTACAGAGGAACAGAAAGGGGAAAGACAAACTAGGAAGGTAAGAAGGCTTTAGTGTGGGCCCAAACTAGATGCTATACCCATTTCCAAAACAGGAAATGGGTTCCCCCCATGAAAAAGGAATAGCCTGACCCTTCCCTGGGAGCCCCCGAGTGCTAGCTGCATCTTAAGAGAAAAGCTGCTGGCCAAGGGACCAAGGAGGGAACCCACAGCTGCAGCTCCTTTGACTGCTCCTTCTTGGCCAGCTGCTTCTCCCGCTCCTTCACCAGTGCTTCCTGTTTGGCTTTCATGTCATTCAGAGTCACAAGACCTGTAAGGCAAGGAGACATGGGGGAAGGGCTGGTCATCCAGGGTTGGCAAAGAAACAGCCTCCCTAGGCCTGGAAGAATAGCATGTGCATCCTGCTCACCCACGGTGCTGGACTTGAGCTCTGCCTCCACAGCATCGTAGTGTGCAGAGAACTTCTTGTCAATGTTGGATTTCATTATGTTCTCCTACAAAGGAGGGAACACAGCAGTGAGGACAACCCACCACTACACTGTAGAAACAACATGCTGGATGTTGGGGACCTGGGTTCTAGTCCGAGATATGTCCCTGGAAGAGACATACCCTCCTATCCTTTATAGGTAGAGGGTCCACAAGGCTAGGGGATGCTCTGCCAGCGCTATGAGAATCAAATGGGTCGTTTCCCACCGACTTTTGCACTGCTCTGGCCCCTTTCATGTCTCCTGCTAAGGGCTAGAGCTTCTTTGGTGGCCTGCAGCCATTGGCCCTACTCATTTTTGGCCTTTTTCATATCCAGCCTATAAGATGATGCTCCTGAGACTGGACCCAAGGAGAAGACAAAGGAACAGAGTGGTTGAAGGGCTGAACCCTATCCTGAGTAATCTTCCTCCTCCTTCCAACCTCAGGTGTTGCCAAAGCTTCCCAGAGGCCTCCTCTCTCCACCCAGCCCCATTCCAAGAGTGCCAGGTAGATCCATCTCTGACCAGGGCCTTCAAAGGAAGTGGTCAGCAGAGCTTGCCAGGAAGTTCCCACTGAGACAGCAGGGCTAGGTCCAGACAGTTTTTTTGTGTGTCAAACATAAAGCATGTAATGAGGCTGAGTGAAGTCTCTGCCTGAAATCTTGTTCCTGCTCTCCACTGGAATCTGAAGTCCTTACTCTTCTGATGAATCTCCTCCAAAGGCACAAGTTGAGGGTTCATGATTCCTCTCTCCCTGAGCCTACCATCACTGGCCACTTACTGAAGCACTGGGGGAGCTGCTAGAACCCCAGAATGTGACACATGCCTGCCTTCATCATGAGTGCAAAGGGTTCCAGAATGAGTCTTAGTGGCCTGCCCCTGTGTCTTACCACAGGGCTTGCCCTTCCCGGTATGCACTGGATCCAGGCAGAGGCCTGGTTCTGAGGGCTGGGGAGCTTGAACCAAGGAGTTCTGTGCTCAGGAGGAGCGCTTGGGAAGGCCTCCCAACCCCAGTGCTACCAACAGAAATATTGACTGGCTCCCTCCTGATGGAGGCTTGTCACAAGCTGTCTCTACCTCTGACATGGCCTGACTCTGGCCCATTTTACAGATGAGACTGCCGCTGGCTCACTTCTGCCGTCTGCCAGAGGCGGCAAGCCAGAGTCCCGCTCCCGATTCGGGGACCGCCCCTAGTGCTCCTAGCCCGCTGCCCAGGGTCTCCCAGGGCCTGAGAGTGGAGCTGGGCCGCCAGGGGGCCCGCGCGTTGCGCATGCTCCACGGCGCCCGGGCCCAGCCCGCACCTCTGCGATCCGCTGCTTCATCTGCTCCATCTGCTCCCGCTGCTTTTCCCGTTTCTTCATCAGATGCATGGCGCGGCCTGCCTCGCTCGCGGCGCCCTTGTACTGAGCCATGGCGGAGGCAGCGGTGACGGCGGCGGCAACAACTGTGACAGCGGCCCGGCTAAATCCAGGCAACGGCGGCGGCCGCGGTTCAGTCAGCTGACGCGTGACGTCGACCACTAAGGAAGGTGCGCCAGCGCCCGCCCCGCCCCGCCATCACTGCACGTGATCGCGCCCTGCCCCGCCCCGCCAGCCGCGGGAGGCTGGACCCCCACCTCCATACGTGGGCTCTTGCCAGAAACCGCCCGGGCTTCTCCTCCCATTTATTCATTGACACTAAGCCTGAATATCCCAACCTTTTGTCCTTCCTTGTTGTTAACCCCGACCCGAAGCCGGGTCTCCAATCCGTCCTATTTCTTTCTATCGACCCCAGAGCTGGGCCCGCCCCCTCCATTTCTTCGGGTATTTTTTTTTTTTTTTTTAAAGAGAGAGGAGGGGGAGAGAGAGAGAGAGAGAGAGAGAGAGAGAGAGAGAGAGAGA